TGTGCAGGAGGAGTGTCAGACCACTGGAGACTCAGACTGCTGCGCTCTGTGTAAGAGTAGTGGTCTGGCTCTCCAGTGTGCTGTTGACACAGGCAGCTTTTACAGTTCAAAAAACATACACAAAAAGTAGTGCCATATGTTTTACTTGTAAAGCAGCGTGATACATAAGCTGTTGGCATTCATTTGCATGACACCCCAATGCAGCTCCCGCAGTGCAGAACAATGCATGGTACCACAATACTATGCAATGTGGTGGGGGAAAAAAGTAGTGCATCCACCAGGAGGTGTGTTGGGGTGCCATTCAAATGAACGGCAATGCATCTACTGCATGGTATGGTGCGCTGTGACAGCATGCGCAAAATGCATGGAATCATGCATTTAGCGCAATGCAGAGGTGCGAACTGGTTCTTACCAATTTTAGGTTCTTTAATTTCATAGGAAGTTATCATTATTAATAATAATACCAATGTTACAGCCTTTTAGGGCATTATTGAGGAGGAAGGATATGATGTCCTTATGGGTGTCACTATGACTATTAAAAGCTAACAGCATGAGAGCAGAGAATGTGAGAGCAGACACAACACGTTAACTGTAAAAAAAAAAAAATACATATAAATTCCATTTTTCTAGACATGCCCAAAAAACATTTTGGGAGAATATTACCATGACGTGAGCAGTGCAATGTGGGTAACCTCAGTGTTCTCTAGAGCACGTTAGACAGGAGTCTCATGCTTGTTCTCAAACTGCTCCAACACATTTAAAAAATCATATTTTATTTGAGGGTGCACATTGTGAAGCTTGCAAGTACTCATATCAAATAATACATATACAGAAAGTTGACAAGGCAGGATGTGATCACGTGTCGCGACTGCTTCTACCATGTGATTAAATGATTGTATCCAGAAAGATGAAAGCACGACTCGCATTTCATGATCTTTAAGAATGTTTTCACTTTCAAACAAATTGTGGAAATGATGAAACCCAATACAGTATGGTTCTGGCACAGAGTCGACAGACACTGCAATATGAACATATGTTCAACTAGAAAGTGCACAAACTTTAGAAAAATTAAGATGTTTAGCTACATTAAATTTCTTATTTTGAACATAGTTCATTTGGTCGACAGTATATAGACATCATTGGAAATGTTCCACGCTACACATTTGAAGTTGGTTTTTAAACCCTTCATGGCTCCATCCATTTTGAATAAGACTCTGCTGGATGATTTTAATTTTTATTAATACAGGGTAGCAGAGCATTTTGGCCAAAGTGGCATGTAGTCTACTGCTGTTGGCCTATACAGGTGAAACTCGAATAATTAGAATATCGCGCAAAGTTCATTTATTTCACTAATGCAACTTAAAAGGTGAAACTAATATATGAGATAGACTCATTACATGCAAAGCAAGATAATTCAAGCCGTGATTTGTCATAATTGTGATGATTATGGCTTACAGCTCATGAAAACCCCAAGAACTCCAAATCCACAACCTCAAAAAAGTAGATTATTACATGCAATCAATAAAACAAGGATTGTACATAGAACAATATCGGACCTCTGAAAAGTACAAGCATGCATATGTACTCAGTACTTGGTTTGGGCCCCTTTTGCAGCAATTACTGTCATTACTTTTGCACGATATTCTAATTATTCGAGTTTCACCTGTACATGTGTAGATATAGACATCACTCCAGCTATTGTGAAGGCCAAATACTCCTGTTCTTGCTTGTTGTTTAATTATATTCCTGTGTCCTGATTGATGCTTGTGTCATACACAGCGCTGTACAGTGCATGCACAGCTGTACATTGGAGGTAAAATTGCTGGTATTTCATGTATTTCTGCATGAACAACTACTACAGTGTGGTATGATTTAAGGTAAAGTCAAATTAAACAAAATCAATCTGTTCAAACTAATAACAATAATAATATTTGTAATATTAATACAGTATATAATCCTTTGAAAAAGTACAAAAAAAGTAAGTGAATAATCTAGGACAACACAGCTGAACTGGAAAGTGAGCTGAATTGGAGAATTTTTCCAAATCGGCTATGTTGTCCTAGATTGTTCACTTCTCCTGCCTTCTCCAAACTCTTCACCCTTTTGTGAATAACCCTGTAGATCTTGATTGAAATATTGCCTACAGATAAATGTCATCTACCTAAACAAATAACACATACAATTGACATGAGGTATTCATTTTCATGATCTAAATGAATGAAAATGCTGATTTTTTTTTTTCAGTGGCATAGCTGGCTTTTTTTCTAATCAGGAAGCCAGCAGGGGTTATGACCCGCCTCGCGGCTTCACTTGTTGCTAGGCAGCCTGGCTTCCTAACCAATCAGGAAGCCGGGCGGCACATCATGACCCGCCTCCCAGCTTCCTGATTGGTCAGGAAACTATAAAATGTGCAAGCTTTGTATTCAGTCAGAATGCAATGGAACCTCCTAAAGAGGAGTCCACAGAGTCTCCAGTTCCCAAGGATTCTTTACCAATTCAACAGAAGCTAAGTTATAGCAGTACTACCTTGGAGCAGAAGAATCCTAAAAAACTTACTAAGCTGCAGGACTATGGGGTTAATTTGCTAAGGGCAAAAAACAGTATTTTTGCTTGCACTTGATTGGATGATGGAAGTCAGCAGAGCGTCAACTCCTCCAATAAACTAAGGGAAAATACATTTGCAAAGTGAGCAGACAAGTGTTAGATTGGGCTTCTACAGTTGTAGGCATCCCTTAGTCACAATGGGGTCTATTCACGAAGCTGCCGAGGGATCTGGCCGTAGCTTCGGCCGATCCTTCGGCTAGCTTCGGCCCCAGGACCCATTCGGAGTCATTTCAGCATTGTTGTGTGCTGTCGGAGTCTGTTGACAGTGTCTTTGCTCTTATGCACCAATATTAGCCTGTTCCTTTTAAACCTTTAGCAAAGAAGAAACCAAAGTTTCAGTGTCTCCTCTTTCACATCTGATCAGAATCCATATTATTAAGAGAATCTGTACAGGCTGTAGTGATGCTCAGAGAAAGGCAAAGTATGAGGACAGTATGGAGCCATGTAATTATTCAGGTGGGGTATTGCAATTTATATTACACAATGTCAAGGAATGTCCTATTTGTCTTGAGTTCTGCAATCACATCCTCTGGTTTTATACTGTTTGCAGCTAAAGGACTCCCGGCATCTGCAATTATAGTGAAAAACAGCAGCTGAAAAGCCAACTATTACATCATGTAGGGAGTGTAATTAACTAAAAGAAAGGAAATTCCAAATTGTAGATTACTGTAGATCCTTGATGAGTTTCTTTCCTGTTCTGCTGACCATATCTTTACATTGTAAATACTGCCATGAAAGCATGTCTTTTCCAATAACTTTGCTGGAAATGGGAAACAAAGTCTGCCATTATCCATCACTGCACTGCCGTCTGGAAACCTGAGTGAGCTGAGAGCACCATCATATTCCCCTTTATAGAACTGTAGGCAGCATTATAATACAGTAACATAAAGTAAAGTGGTATTCCATGCTTTAGAAATCAAGTCATATAAATGGCAGCTGTTAGCTTTCCAACTGTAATGGCAGTTAGTTTTGTAGTCATCATGTATCAGCAAGAACTTTATATTGTATATAGCCACCATTCAGACTGAAACTTGACCGTTGGAATCTGAAAGTTTTTTAAAGGTTTTTAAAAAGCAGAACAACCATGACAAATTATTAAAATACCGTTGTCTAGGTTGGTAAGTGCTTATCAGAAATACTCTGTGGTAAACAGGTTTCAAAAATAGATCTCAGCATTAACAACACAAGAAGAAGCAGAAGAAGACTAAAAAATTGCAACAGAATCAAGTTGAATTTCTATATCAATCCATGTCTCATTCCAAGTCTTAAAAGCAGATACTAGTATGGCACTTACTCTCAGAATCATAACGTTTGAATCAGATTGGTGGTTAGATAGTAATACCGTAAATTATTATTTTAAAGTAAGTGACCCCAAAATGCCTAGCCGATGTCATATTTAATTTTAGCCATCTCTGACACTATAATTTACAGAAATGTACTACATTCCATACAAAGCAAAAATGTTGCAGCGCTTATCTTTCCTTCCATAATTGAAGAGGTGTATATACTGTATAATTATTTATGAATTTCCTAGTTTTTAAAAAAATGCAGCCATATCTCCTAGTACTGCATACCTCCCTTGCATAAATATGATGTATTGATACAGAAGTAGAGATGCTGTGCCGCCAATCCCTCTGTACTAAGGGCCCACTCTGTAGTGATTGCAGTGACACTCATAGGATTAACATGACAGCTTTTGTCTTTTTAACATCATAGAAATGCTCCTAGCAGCCAAAGCTCCTACTGCCTGTGGTTAGAGACATTCCAATCTGCTGAATAGGCCCCAGAGATGAGTAAGTAATAGAGAGCTGTGGGAATCTGCGACCTGTAAAAGTATGAGTGATATAAGACTGTGTGTGCATATATATTCTCATATTTAAATTCTAATTTACCACTAATGTTGTTTCAAGGTGCGATATAATTTTCCAGTTATCATGCAAACATCACCCTCTATGTTTTTGGAAAACCATTTAGGAATAACACCATTACAACATAAAAGGTCAGGAATTTGATTTTTCAACACGTCCAGCGCTTTCTGTCTCCGTTTCAGCACCCTAATACCCTTTGACAGGGTGTATGTGAATAGCGTAACCTGGCCTGGCCTTACTGGGAATAAGTAAGATAGAGCTCGTATTAGCTGTTTCATCTGGCAGCAATTAATTTCATACAAGATTTTTGAAACATGGACAAGGCAGATTTCCCGATAAGGGATTAAAGATAAAACTGCAAATCTGCAGGGCCTGGTCAGTGGAATGTATAACAGCTACACATTTCCATGTCTCCATTCTTCAGTTTGTCAAAAAAATTGATAAAGACATGCATACAAAACAGACGGGGGAGAGGATTGCTCACCCTTAGAAAGTGATAGAAATTACTCATCTCATTACACGAATTACCTCGGCTAATTTGACAGTGTGCTGGTTATCTTCTTCGCAGTGTGGAATGTCTGCCCTTAGGACAAGTAGGGCCATATGTAACCCTTGCGAAAAGTACTGCGAGAGGGCTTTTCTCACTCTCCTCTTCACCTCGTCCTGGCTCAGGCTGCTATGAGGGATACCAGGTGTGTCTAGCACCTGCAGTTGTAGGCCCAGCTCCCTCCCCATTCGACGAGCAAAATTGGGCATTCGCGTTCTGCACAGTCGACAGTCTTTGGTCACGGAGTGTGGGAAAAACTTGCTCTCAAATTCATAACTTCCCAGCAGGCTGTTTCCGAGAGAACTCTTACCACATTTCGTCTTTCCCAGTAGAAGCAGATTAATGGTGATCTCATTATTACCATCCATTTCTACTCTGTCAAAATAGAGTAATCACAGGACAGATGTTAATATCAGCAACCTCAGGATTTATGGCTTGCAGGTTATATCCAAAGAACACCTATAAATGACCAGATTGATGCCAAGCCGTTAGATGTAGGACTATTGGTCATAACAACACAACTTCCTGAGGACATGTGAGGACTATTTTATGATGCTTTTCAAAAACAATGTAAAAAAAATATATAGGTCCCCGTCCTCTTGACATTTTACAGCCCGATTTACAATGTGACCAGAGAACCTACATTGCCTATGGTGAAAAGTGGATATATGCTGTGCAGTGTGAGCAAAAGAATAACTGAATGTGACATTGTAATCTTATTACATTTTAACCATATCCTTGTCTGAGGACATACTACAATACTATGAGGGCAATGTATCTATCTAAACTGGAATAGACAAAATCTGGAGTAGCTGTGCTACTCCATTATATACTATTGCCATTATATACTATGGCAACCAATCAGCTTCACTCTTTTATTTACCGGTTTACTGAACAAACTAAAGCGAAAAGTTGATTGCTTACTATGGACAACTTCTCCAGATTCTGTCTGCTCCAGTTTTGATAAATTTCCCCTCATATATGTTTTATATAGTGGTGTTTTTAACAAGGCAGTATCATAATAATAGCAGAATTAATTCAGCAAACACTAACAAACTGCCACACTTTCATATTGTAATGTATATGTTAACTTAACGAAGGTAAATGAAATAAGATACATTCCACTACAATTGCTTACTTGTAATGTTATCTGAAGCCATGGAAAGCACCCAAATCTGTCACATCCACCATTGTCTGCTAACATGAGCTTTTCTAACGTTAAGGGGTTGATTTATTAAGAGCCTGTTATAACAGGCTTTTGTTTGCTTCAAACTGGTTTTGCATTCTCATAAGTCTATTGGAAAGCAAAACTCACTTGAATGCAGGTCAGAAGGAGGTCCACGGCACCTGTCAATGGATTCTAAATGATCTCAGAACGCCTCAAACTGATGCCAAGGACACAAGCCCAAAGCCCCTGGACACAAGCCCTAAATGAGTTAAGAATTTCGAAATTTTGTACTTTGCAAATTGAATGTTAACTTAAAGTCAAGGTTTTCTTGGAATCATCCAATCATGTGCAAGCAAAACGTTTTATTTACGTCCGCTTGTGCATGATTGGATATTCAAAGTAAACATGGCTTCACCTTATACAGCTGAAACAACAGTACAAGCATTTGGTCACTGACAGCTGTAAAAAGCAGTAAGATGGAAGGCGGGTGATGTCAGTAAACCTTTGGTACTCTATGACCTGCTGGGCTCAAGGTTCCTAACTCTGATAGAAGCATAGACAAATGGACGGGGTCATTTATTTTCAGTAAAAGAATAAAACATTTGAATTTGTCAGTTACTGCCTGGTCCACATTATACTGTGCATCCATTAATACAGCAGACTGCAGACCATATCTGTTGTATCATGCACATCAGAAGTGGGCTCATCTAAACTGGAAATGCAAAGTACAGTGATCTACAGGAAACAAACAACAGCCTTCATAATTATTATAAGGTATAATTAAATTAATTCTATTGACGTGCTACTGCACTTTGTACTTCCTTGTTAAATAAGCCCACTATAAAAGTCATGTCTTAATGCAGGAGCTGTTTTATCAATTCATACCATTAGATGGCAATGGACACAGGTACCTGTCCGGCAGTGGTAAAATTAGATTTTTACAAATATTTTTTAGCTCTGTGTTATGTTTTAATTCACAATTCCATTATAAAGTCACAGTTAGAGACAAAAAAATTAAGTTCAGACTATATTATATCTTTTTCCATTTATTTTTATATATTTTTTGCACCCCATGCAACTAAAATATGGCAAAGTACACAAACATTGTTACAGTAAAAAAAAATGCTCAGATTTTGGTTACAGAGGGATGGGGGTAATTCTAATATCTGAATTATAAACTTTCAGGTGCCCATACAGTACACTCACCCATACTAGAATACTAGACAATTCACACATATACTGTATACACTCACTTAGAAAGGCGACATACAATTCTTTTTGCTACTGCTGTAATAATTTCATGGAAATAATATTTGTGAGCTACTGCACATAAAGGTATTAAAAGTTTTAATTGCGTCTGCTTACCGTGCGTCTTGAATAGTGTGAGATGTAGAGAGTGAACTTTAGCACAGAGATGATGCTGTCCCTGGTACCACACTCAGGGGAGTACAGAATCTTTGTATTAGTTAATGTGTTACATAGGGATCAAAGTTTAATGAAGATAAGTATGTATGTGCACAGCAGGCACTGAGATTCACAACCCACTCCTCACAACGTCCAATACATCATCCTATAAATTTCTTTTCAAACAGGTAAAATAATTACATAATAATCTGCATGGCAGGTGACAAATTTCATAAATTCTATAATTTTTGACTTTATCAACAAGGCATTGGAAACACATACGTATTTGCCGCTAAAGTTCCATAAACTCTTTTACTATTGTTTTACTAGTTTGCTTAAAATGTTTATGCTTATTGCTGATTTGCTTATTTATTGTATTTTACTTTCTATACATTTTGTTTATCCTTATTTTTTTGCTGTCACTTTAGACCTTTAGTAGGTAATTGGGCATAAAAACTGAATTCAGTCTGGATACTCATTTCAAAGGCAAGTCACAAGAGTCTCTGCAGCTTAAATAAAGTACAGTCATCATCTCTTTTTTCCAATACATGATTTAGGCCATAGACAGCCAATGGTTGTTTTGAAACTGTTTTCAATTTTTGTTTAGTCTCTGCATTTAAAATTATGTTCAGTGGGTGGGTTTGAAGGTACATTGTCAGTTACGTATGCCTAAGCCGTACATTTTAAATGTAGCCTTGGAGATTATTAATGATCCCTTATGTCTGCTTTTCTTTTTACTTTTTTCATGTCTCCTTTCATTTGGAACATCACATGAAAAGTATCTGGAAAAATGTAATAAAACCTTTGTTTTTCTTATATTTATGATAGGAAAACCAGGCAAAGCATAAAACAGATAAGCACATTTGTTGGTCCTACAGTAGAGGACACAGGAAATCTTCCTTATTTCTTTGTAAAACCAGGGAAATATATATATATATATTTATATATATATATATATACATATACATATATGTGTGTGTATTGTGATATTTGGTGAATTTAGCACATATGGTGAGCGCTTAAGGACCAGTCTTAAAGCCGTTTTAACATAAATAGGACAGTCTTTTATTTCCTCCGTATTGGCACACTCCTCCAAATCATTGGATTCAGGTGTTCCGTGAAATTTCCTTGCTACTAAACATTCCGCAGTCAACTGTTAGTGGTATTATAACAAAGTGGAAGCAACTGGAAACTACAGCAACTCAGCCACAAAGTGGTAGGCCATGTAAAATGACAGAGCGGGGTCAGCACATGCTGAAGCGCACAGTGCGCAGAAGTCGCCAACTGTCTATAGAGTGAATAGCTACAGACCTCCAAACTTTGTGTGGCCTTCAGATTGGCACAACATAGGTGCGTAGAGAGCTTCATGGAATGGGTTTCCATGGCTGAGCAGCTGCATCCAAGCCTTACATCACCAAGTGCAATGCAAAGTGTGGGATACCGTGGTGTAAAGCATGCCGCCAACCAGACTCTAGAGAAGTGGAGACGTGTTCTCTGGAGTGACGAATCATGCTTCTCTGTCTGGCAATCTGATGGACGTGTCTGGGTTTGGCAGTTGCCAGGAGAACGGTACTTGCCTGACTGCATTGTGCCAAGTGTAAAGTTTGGTGGAGCGGGGATTATGGTGTGGGGTTGTTTTTCAGGGGTTGGGCTTGGCACCTTAGTTCCAGTGAAGGGAACTCATAAGGCATCAGCATACCAAGACATTTTGGACAACTTAATGCTCCCAACTTTGTGGGAACAGTTTGGAGATGGCCCCTTCCTGTTCCAACACCAGTGCACAAAGCAAGGTCCATAAAGACATGGATGAGCGAGTTTGGGGTGGAGGAACTTGACTGGCCTGCACAGAGTCCTGACCTCAACCCGACTGATTTTCGGCACGGACAGGTTGTTAGTGCTAACTTCCGGTACAATATAAGGTGCAATTGCTATTTGCATCCATCGTTGCAGTTGCCTGCTGAGCTCCTGTGAAAAAAAATACTAAACTGTCTGACATTTTTTAATATAGATTTCTATTTTTGCCTTTCAGAAAGTCTTCTCCTAACCATTTTCTGTACCGAAGAATTACATTTGAATCTTTGGAGTATCAGCTTGTGTATATGAATATTATTGTTGAATGGGTAATAAATGTGCAAAATGTTGTTCTGGCAGAATGAACGGTAGAATAATCAGAAAAATATTAACTCTTTTCCTTTTTGTTCCAAGATATGATATCATTTGATAATTCGCTCATTGACATATGTGTGATACACATTCTGCTGTGTAGATAGTAAAGCAAACATTTAACAGATGCTAAAGGCTGAATGAACAAACATTCTGCAGAAGGCATTGTCAATTGTTTTATCTCATAATCAACATTCTCATTATAATTTTTTTTATCTTTTTACGTCAACTGTACTCTATTTACTTGCCGTGATGCTTGCAAGAAAGATCACAACTGGGCTCACACAACAATGTCAATATTCAGCCTCAAATTTGATATAAAGCTGAAACCTTTTTTTTGTGTTTTAATAGAGTAGGGAATGGTTAGAACTCGCTTTTCTCTTGCCATCTCTGTCTCTTGGGGAGATTTTTGTTCACTTCCTGTCCTGTAGACACAACTGAAAGTGCTCTTACACAGTTGTCCCAGTAACAAGCATTCCTATTGAAAAAGATGGCCCTCTTTTCCTGTTCTAGTAACAACTCAAAAGGTTGAATCTCCTGTTGCTTTTGGTCCCAGTGACAATGGCCACTAATCGTGACAAGTCTGGGCTTGGTGTAAACCTAGTTTGCCTAGGTTCACCCAAGCCTGCCCAA